CGAGCAGTGGCTCTCCAGGGTCTCAGGCAGGGGTCTTTCGTACCACCTTCTGCTTGGTCCTTCAACTGGAGATGCCGATTGAACCTCAGGCCTTCTGCCTGGCAAGCAGATGCTTTACCACGAAGCCACAGCCCCTTATCAAGAGTCAAAATTGTGATGTATCTGACTTTCAGCTTTGGCTTTCAGAGACTTACATCCGAGAGATATTGATCGAAACAGAGGCTTCTAGTAGCCTGATATCTCACAGGGACAGACTCAAGAGCACAACCTGACTGGCAGAAGGCTGCAAGTGGGATAGCGTATGCGTAAACACAAATCTTAGTCAGTCTTCCCTGCACAAGGTTGACGATGGGAGATATAGAAGAACAAACCCACTTCTCGAAAGACCCGTTCAGATTGGCAGAGCAGTACAAACACAGACTGGACTCTCCTTTTTAAAATTAAGACCCAGTGCAGGGAAGTAGTGGTTAGACTAGGGAGGCCTGGGTACAAACCCATCCTGAGCCACTGAACTCACTGGGTGACCCTGAGGGCAGTCCCTGGCGCCTCTCGGCCAAGTTTACCTCACGACCACTGTTGGAAGACAAGATGGGGGAGGGGAGTACCACAACTGCCACCCTGAGCAGGGTGGGATTAAAAAAACAAAGGGATTAAAATAGTTTAAAGGTGAGAATATTTGACAACCACCACATTATAAACATTTACAATGGCCACTTAAGCTATTTTGAAGGGACAACAAGGCCTACATATCTGCAGTTGGCCAATGCTTAAAAAAACACCACACATTATTGTTTGTACCAAACTTTTATGTGAGGCTGATCAAAAGCTTCCTGTTCAGAGGACTGACCAGATACATGTCTGCTTAACTTCAAGCAGTGGTGCTACCTCAGACACGTTTAGACCAACATCTAGGCCTTGGCCATCCCCCACGTTGAAGGTTTCTCAATAGAAGAGGTGCTTTTCATGCTCATCCATCACCTCTCAGGGCTGTAAGGGCAACGCATTCTCACCTGCTCCCTTTGCTTCACTTCCTCCTCCTTTTGTTGGTGCCTTGACAGGAAGACTTCTGCCAGGGCCACTGCCTGGTCGTAAGTCTCGGGGTCGCACTTCCTGACCCAGCACTGCATTTCCTGAGGAAGGACGGCCAGGAACTTCTCCAGGATCACCAACTCCAGGATCTGCTTCCTTACGGGCTTCTCTGCAGGCAGCAACTGATAGCAAAAACATGCATGCAAAGGATCAACGTGTCAGACTATGACCCTGGTTCAAAAGCCCTCTCAGCCATTAAGCTCACTGGCTGGCCTTGGCTTAGTCGCTTTCTCTCCCCCTTAACTGTTGAGTTCAATGCTCCCTCTAAGCTGTGGAGTCTTGCGAGCAAAAAGTCTACTTTGTGAGCGACTGGCGTTACAGTTGTGAGCGAGCGATTTGGCTACTGCATATAAATTAGTCTGCTCTAGAGCCATCTTTCCTCAGACAAAAATGTGTGAGCCAGAGGCTAAAAAACTGAGAGCTAGCTCACACTAACTCAGATTAGAGGGAACACTGGTTGGGTCTTCAAACGTTACAGACCCAAGACCCAGCTTTAATCACTAGGGAGCAGCAGTGGACTCGCTGACTGGCAAGCACATGACAGGAAGTTGCAAACCATTGTGTGACAGCAGAATCGTGTGACAGGAAGACGGGCACAGACATATGGCCCCCCACCAGTATCAAGTCCTGGCACGTAGGCCAGGAAAGTCCAAGAGGGTCAGGAACAGGTCCTCCCTGGCCACCAGCGGGTTGTGAGATCCAGGTTCGGGAACTCTTGGAGACTTGGGGATGGAGGCTGGGGAGGACAGGGACCGCAGTGGGGTACAATGCCATAGAGTCCACCCTCCAAAGCATCTGTTTTCTCCAGGGGAACTGATCTCTGCAGTCTGGAAACGAGGTATAACTCCAGGAGATCCCCAGGTCCCACCTGGAGGCTGGCATCCCAATCCTGAGAAGCATACCATAATGAGAAACAAGCAGCATAGGGATGTTCAGAGACCCTTCTCTCCTGTCAGAAACTCTCCCTTGCCTTCTCTCTCTGCACCAGAGCTAACTCCCCGCCAGTCATTTATCACTCCTCACTGTGTGGAGCTCTTCCTAAAACAAAAAAAGGTTTCCTGTGGAGAATGGGACTGCCATAGAATGGTACAGGGCCATGTAGGTTTGCCCCAGACAGGGCATCCCTTCCAAGAATCCCTTCCTCCCCACATGCTCCCTGCCCCCTTCAGACCTGGGGCAAGCACAGGCCTTAATATGTAGAACGCAGGCAGAGCGAACAAGAGATGGTTTATTCAGCAAATACCGTAGCAAGTACAGTCACAAGTCATGTGTGTTTTTAATTGTTAGCTCTTGGTGGCCCTTGTCAGGCCAGAAAGGCAGGATGTAAATTTTGTAAATAATAGACAAACGTGGGGCAGAATTAATACAGTAACTTTACAACTATACAGGGCAAAAAACACACAGAAAAGAATCTGACTGGCAAACAATAAAGTTCCCTAACACGGCTCCTTCACTTAGTTCCTATTTCTGTCTCAGTACCTGACCCTAGTAGGCCGCACTCACCCCACCATGGGGAAGAAGGGATCATCTCCCTCCAAAAGCAGCCCTCACTACTGCTAGACTTCAGGGAGTAAATCCCGTCCTTCTCTGTGCAGGGCCTTTTATGCTCCCTTTTAGAGCTCTCTCCCTCCTAGACAGCTGTTGGTGCCAGTTTCCCCTCCATTTTTACCAGGCCTAATTCTGAGGCTTGGGAAATGTAAACCTGCAGAGAAATTAGCAGCCAGGCCTGAGGAAAGGCTGTCTTGAGGCCTACAGGCTCATATGAAACAGAGGCTTCTTTGAGGCCTACAGGCCACTCATTCCTCAGCCTTAGACTTAGGCTCATGACAGGGGCTTTACACCACAAGGACACGTGCAGGGCATTGAAGGATCACCAGGTGGGAGTGCGGATTTGGGATGGAGGGAGAGCAAGAAGACAAGGAGTGCTTTTGTAGGGAGGAGGGTTTCTGAACCCAGCCATGATGAAAAAGAATCCTCTCCACTTCCAAGAGACCTGTTAATCTGGTACGTTTTTGGCCCTGATTTGGCCTGGTTACAGCCGCCATCTTTGAGCAAAATGGATTTCTGTGTAGTTTGCCATCAGAAATTATGACTTTTGTTGAGGCTGCAATGGTACAGCACCGAGTGACTGTTGTGCATTCCATGAGGAACATCTAACCACAAGCAAGGCTCCCTCTAAGCTGTGGAGTCTAGTGAGCAAAAATTCTACTTTGTGAGCTACCAGCATTAAAGTTGTGAGCGAGCAATTTGGCTCCTGCATAACACCTAGCTTGCTCTGGAGCCCTCCTTCCTGAGCAAAGGCAAAAACGTGTGAACCGGAGGCTAAAAAACTGTGAGCCAACTCACACCAACTCAGCTTAGAGGGAACACTGACCACAAGTAGCTGTAAAACACTGGGAAAGCACCTCTTAGTATTCAGAGAGCTTTTGTTAATGGGGGCAACTTGCCCACACTCGTCGGAGCTTGTTCAAATGGATTTTTACAACAGAAGCCCCCCTCCCACGAGAAGACCTCAATGATGTTTGACCCTACATGATATTACGGGGTGAAAGGCAGCATGGGTTGCTGGATATTTGATCCCATTTTGTGTGACTGTGCCAATGGCTTTGGGCAAATTTGTGGATTTCAGATGAAGGAGCCCAGAAACTAGTGTGTCATCTGGGATATTAACTTTTCCAACTAAGCTACGTTAAGCAGCTGCTGAGATGCCATGACTGGATTTCACACATAAGGGGGGAAAGACACCCCCCAAAACTGTCAGCATCCACAGCCATGATTCTCAGGAGTACTTTTCTTTGAACCCTAGCCTGAAACATGAAAAGCCCAGCATGCACTGCTGATTGCTAACTGAGTCTGAAGACTTATGAGAACACCTGCAGCTCTGACAAACAAGAAGGCCAGTCTCACAACCAATAAGAAGAGTTCAATCTGGCATATTGTTTTGGGATATTGGAAAGATGTTATGAGAAAGGAACATCTGGTCCCTTAGGTGCCAAAATAAACAATAAATGAGGGGAAATTACGTGTTCACACCTATTTCTCCATCCTACAGGTGTGGGAACCACCCTGGATCAAACATCAGGTATAAAGACCTCAGGTGAGGGTGGGATTTTAGCTTCTTGGGATCCATTTGCTTGTGGACCCAATCCTGTTACCTACCTATTTCTGGGACTTGGAATCCTTGGGGTCCATTCATTTCTTAGTTTGAACAGTTTTTTCTAAATTTTTTGAGTTCTTTATTCCGATAGTTTTTGTTCTTCCCATAGGGACAGAGCATGTTGTTTTACAAGTTTTCCTTTCTAAGGTCAAGGAACTCCAGGCCTTGACAGGCCTGTGTTGTAGTTCCAGGCCACAGACTGCTTTGCTGTGCCCTCTCATCCTCCTAATTCCCAGGAGTCTGAGGGCTGAGAGGCTCACAAGCCTGTGAGAGTCTTGCCTCTGCATCCTTCCTGGTTCTTTGGATAGGTAGCTATTAAATTGTATCGCTTGCTTGCTAAGAACTCACTAAAACGAGAGGGGCAAAAGAGTGGTAGGGTGGCAATTCATTGTTTAACATTTAGATTGGCTAGTATGCATTAAGTTTGTTCTCATTTTTGCAACCTTTTGTTTCAAAAATATTTACAAGGTTTGTGGTCCATGTCTCCACTACCTAGTGTGTCCTCTACTGGTGTAGAACTGGTTTAGAATTATACTTTATTTATTCATGTTTCAACACTGCCTGTGTACCGGCTTATTTTATGTCTTGTAACTATCTGTATTGTACTGAACATTTTCTATCCGTACCTTTTCATGTATTCCTGTATCATGCATCTCTGTGATGTTGCCATTTGCTTTTGTAGTGTATTATGCAGTAATGCCTTTCAATAAACCATTTAATTCATATCAATAACACTTTGAAGTCTGCGTTTTCCTACTGACAGTTGTGTACCCACTGGAGGGAGAACCCTAAGACAAAAGGAAACTTCTTGCTTAAGGGGACTGAATTAACAAGACCTTGTCACACAGTCCTGCTGCATGCATGCAAAGAGAAGTGGCACATTTGCTCTCAATCAGAAGATCCTTCCAAGAAGCTGCCACACACACACACAAAATCTAGGGATCACAACCCAGCAGGACTGGTTCATTGACCTATCGGCTTAACCTACCTCCCAGGGTAGCTGTGAAGATAAAAAGAGGGGGTGGAGTGAAAGTCCCCTGAGCTCCTTTGAGGAACTGCAGGATACGAATGTGACATCTAAATATCTAAATAGACAGAAGCAGTTGCAAACCTCTTGGGGCCCCTTGGCATCCGGGTAGCCGATCTGCTGGAACAACTGGCTCTGTACGTCTGAGGTGCCCACAGCCTCTTCCAGGGTCTGCCGAATTCTTCCCCAGAATTGCTCACTCCTCCCGTTTCCTGCTTCTGTCCTTGCTTCCATGTCCACACTCCGTTCACGGCCAGCCTCCACTCTTCTGGACGGCAAGACAGATTCAAAGAATGAAAGCAAGCTTCATCGCATCACAATCACCTCTGTTTTCAGCCTGTTTTTTTATCAAATACCTTTGCCCTCGTGAAATTCTCTATTTCTTTTTATCCCCCCTTGAACAAAACACTACTCAATAGGTCACAAAGCAAAGCGACTATGAGACCCAATGTCCCATTTGAATCTCAGCTCTGTGATGAACTCAACGGATGGGCTTCTTTCTAAAGACAGATCTCTCCTCCATCTTTAATAGGGAGACAATGTTGTGGACCCCTAACTATAAATTGTACAGAACACAGAGTGTTCCTGTGTTCCTCTCTGTTCCTGCAGAACCTTCTGATTCCCCGAAAGATCATTCCCAGGGTCGCAGGACCCACATGGAGGGAAAGGCTGGGTGAGGGTGCTGGAGCATGGAAGAATATGGGTGAAATCACTCCTGCTTCCTCTTACACAGGGCCATCCCTCCTCATTCCAGCCCACCAACCCGCATGGTTATTCCTCTGCTGAAATCCTGCTATCCCAGAATAATCTTTCTGGCAACCAAAACAGCCTAGAAAACTGAGGGGAAACTCCTTGTGCTTGCCATGCACAGATGGGCTATATCCACACCAATAATACTTTACAGAGTTGTTGAAAAGCATGCCCCAAATCGTATACATTAAGCACTGGGGAAGGAAGACAGCTCTGTAAAAAAGGCCAAGAACTGCTGGGTGCTTCCTAGAAATTCCCAGGGCAAGCACTGCCTTACAGTGTAATCCTAAAGAGAGTGACACCCTTCTCAGCCCATTGACTTCTATAGACACAGAGGGATATGACTCTGTTTAGGATTGCAGACTGCAGATTGCAGTTCTAGGACGACAGCACTCTTAATGGCTTGTGATTTCTTTGCAATATCAGCTTTTATTTTGAATATACATAAGGAAAAGATGACAAAAGCAAACAAGTCCTGTAAGCAGATGGCACATAAGATATCTCTGCACAAGATTAACAAAGTTTGAGCCCAGTGGCACCTTTAAGACCAACAAAGTTTTATTCAAGGTATAAGTTTTCATGTGCATGCACGCTTCTTCAGATACAATGAAATGGAAATCACCAGTCCATACATACAGGTAGAGGGTGAGCAGTAAATTAACATACAGCTTAATGAAGATGTTTAACAGATTAAGGGATGCATGGGAATCACAAGCTTAGTTTACATGGTTACCATTTGTCTGGGTTTAATTCCGGGGGAAACAGAGTGAAGGAAATAAATATGTCAAGACTGGAGACTGATGCGCAGATGTAACCTTAATTGTGGAAGGCTGAAAGTAATTAACTGAGACTCAAACTTTGTTCTGCAGCTTCAGACCCATCTCTTATGTTCTTATGACACCCTTTCTCAGCCCATTGACTTCTATAGACACAGAGGGATATGACTCTGTTTAGGATTGCAGACTGCAGATTGCAGTTCTAGGACGACAGCACTCTTAATGGCTTATGATTTCTTTGCAATATCAGCTTTTATTTTGAATATCATAAGGAAAAGATGACAAAAGCAAACGAGTCCTGTAAGCAGATGGCACATAACATATCTCTGCAAAAGCTTAACTAAGTTTGAGCCCAGTGTTCTCCTGGATGCCCGCTTCCGGGTCGGCCAAAAAAGAAAAAAGAAAAAAAAAGTTTGAGCCCAGTGGCACCTTTAAGAATAACAAAGTTTTATTCAAGGTATAAGTTTTCATGTGCATGCACGCTTCTTCAGATACAAATTCAGATTCAAATAAATAAATACAATGAAATGGAAATTACCATACATACAGGTAGAGGGTGAGCAGTAAATTAACATACAGCTTAATGAAGATGTTTAACAGATTAAGGGATGCATGGGAATCACAAGCTTAGTTTACATGGTTACCATTTGTCTGGGTTTAATTCCGGGGGAAACAGAGTGAAGGAAATAAGTATGTCAAGACTGGAGACTGATGCGCAGATGTAACCTTAATTGTGGAAGGCTGAAAGTAATTAACTGAGACTCAAACTTTGTTCTGCAGCTTCAGACCAACCAGGCTGCCCACCTGATTTCCACAAGATTTCCACAGAGCCTGTACCAGGGACGTGAGTGACTGACAGTAATTCTCCGAGGCCCCAGGGAGAGCAAGGTCTTTACTTGCCAGATCAGGACCGAAACTGAGAATCTTCCACTCTTACCGGCTGCGGCTCTTCAGAGTGATTAGATGAGGTACATCTAATGAACTGAATCCCGAAATCTTGGACTGGATTAATCGATGCTTGTCTTTAAGGGGCCATTGGACTCCCGTTTTACTGTGGAGCTACAGGCAAACAGGGCTACTCCTCTGGAGACAGAGAAAGAGCCTTTAAGCGAAGATGACACGCACAGGGTCTTTGCATGGAAAGCGAGGGGCTCCACCACTGGACCGCAGCTACACAGGCAATCCACCATCACTCCCTCCATCCTTTAACTCACTCCATCACCATCTGGATCCAGCTCAGAGCCCACCTCGCACCACTGAAGTCTGAGGTGGAAAAGACCGCAGCTGGACACCCTTTCCAACACGCCCAGCCTGAAAAATTATACTTCCGTGGATATTTGCATGCCTTCCAAATTGCTGTGATTGTGACCTGCTCCAATGGGTTTTGGCCGAAAAGCGAGGGGTGGGTGGGGGGATAGCAGAAAGGCAATCAAAAACCTCACCCGCTCTAAGCATCAGCCTCCAGCGCCTTCTCCCACTTGCGATTCAAACTCTTAGGCTGCAGCAAAGCACGCCCGTCCCTTGCATGCTTGCTTGTGTTGACGTTTACCTAGCCGGCGGCGCCCTGAAAATGCAAAGCGAAAAAAAGGAGCGGGGAGGAGGGGGCTTCGCTATAGAGATGCCCATAGTGAGAGCGTCGCATTGATAGAGAAGACTGGCACCATAGAGCTGCGAGGCGGGTCAAAACATCGCAAACTACTTCCTCCACGCCGTGTCTCAAGAATCATAGAGAATAGAAAGACCAGAGTGATGACCCTCCCTACGGGTCCTTCCGATCTAGTATGAGGGAAGCAGGCTATCATAGATGTGAGAGGAGCTAGAGCGGCTCCACGCTAAGGCTACAGAAGCGCTGAAGAGTACAAAGAGGGGCGATTCCTTTGTCTGGCCCTGGCTACTTCCTGGATACTTTTGGCGCCATCTTTGTTTTCCCCCGCTGAGAGGCTCAGCTGTCGTTTGACGTGAATAATACGGCTGGGAACCCTGTTTCGATATCAAAATACGTTGCCCTGCCGATACAAAAGAACTGTCCAGAGTTGTTTTCAATCTAGATTGCAACCCTGCAATCTGGTGGTGTTAATTCCACTTTCCTTTTAGGGATGCCAGCCTCCAGGTGGGACCTGGGGATCCCCTGGAATTACAGCTCATCTGCAGACTACAATAACAAGTTCCCCTGAAGAAAATGGATGCTTTGGAGAGGGGGCTATATGGCATTGCACCGCATTGAGGTCCCTGTCCTCTCCAGGCTCCATCTCCAAATCTCCAGGAGTTTCCCAACCTGGATCTGGCAGCCCTTCCCGTCCCAACCTGGTGGCCAGGGGGAGATCTGGCAAGAGCTCTCCTGGATCAGACCAAAGGACCATCCAGCATATGGTTTCCCAAAATACCAGCCAGGTACCTTTGGGAAACCCCACCCCTAGTAAAATATAATGGTCAAAACCTCCCCTTATTGTGTCCCCCACAAGCAGGGGTCATTTCCTGCAGGAGGGCACAGGAGCGGAGCTCCAGCAATAAAGAGCCCAGGGGGCGGGCACATGCAACAAGCCCCACCCCCTGCTCCCAGCAGCCCTCAGTCAGAGCAAGAAGCAGCCAGGTAAGTTGCAGAGCCCCAGCCCCCAGTCCAAAACAGTCCAGTGGTATCTTTAAGACCAAGTTTTATTCAGGTATGAGCTCTCCCTCCTCTGCGAGGACAGATTTGCACATTCTCCCCCCCCCCAGTAGCTAGCGATCCAAAACAGTCCAGTGGAGCCTGAGCGGTGGGTGTTGCCTTCTGACACACTTCCGGTGATTCTAGTAACAAATATACACTGCAAAAACCTTATAGCAAACTAATGTGTTCTATTTATGGTCATCATTTAGTAAAGGGCATAGTGTATAATTATTTCATCCTAATCAGGTTAAATATTCATTACATTCAATAAGCAATAACATTCAATACATACAGATTGCTAACTACCAGACAATTTTGCATCAGTGTTTTAAAAGTCAAGCTCCACTTCCGATGATGTCAGGGGGTGTGGCATATGCAAATAATCATGCTAATGAGCTCCTGCACCTCTTTTTCTACAAAATGACCCCTGCCCACAAGCAACGGGTGATTCAGAGGTGATTACATCATGGCTAACAGTTAATTCTCCTGCCAACCTAGCAGTTCGAAAGCAAGAAATTGCAAGTAGATAAATGGGTACCGCTTCGGAACAGCGTTCCATGCACCTCGGTGTCTACTCATGCCGGCCACATGACCACGGAAACTTCTTCGGACAGCGCTGGCTCTTCGGCTTGGAAACGGAGAGGAGTACCACAACCCTAGAGTCAGATTCGACTAGCTTTCGAGCAAGAGAAACCGTTACCTAACAGTTAATTTTGTGGATAGATCCAGGTGGGCAGCTGTGCTGGTCTGAAGCAGTAGAACAAATTTAAGGGTCCAGTGGCACCTTTAAGACCAACAGAGTTTTATTCAAGGTATGAGCTTTTGTGTACATGCACATTTTTTCAAATACATTGGAATGGTAGGTAAGGTTCAAACTTATAGATGGGCTGAACAGCAAATTAACATGTAATATGTTGAAGATGCGCAAAGGCAAAACCCTAGCTTGCCTTTACACATCTTTTTCATGTTACATGTTCATTTGCTGTTCGGCCCATCTATAAGTTTGCACCTTACCTACCATTCCAGTGTATTTCAGTTAATTATGTGCTGTGTGAAGATCTTTCTTTTGTCTGCACATCAGCCCAATTGAATGAACATCAGTTGTGATCAGGACAAGGAAAGTGTACCTTGCTCCATACCATACTTACTTTTACAAACTTTTGATCATCTTCCTTCACACCACCATGACCAGCTAGTCCTTTTTCTACTAAAAAGTTCCAAATGCTTTATCATTGAGGAGGTTTTCCAACCCTTTCATCATTTTGATGGTCCTTTTCTGCATTTTTCTCAGCTGCACAAGAATGAGGGAGAACTAAACCAGAATTGAACACCTAGATTGGCGGGGGGGGAGTATGAGCTCTCAAGAGTCAAAATTCCTTTAGTCGGTATTGAACAATATATCAGTTGTTTTTTTTAAAATGTAATACTGAGCAAGCACACTTGGAATTACACTGACAGTCCTTCTGACAGAGATTTTTACAGCACAGTCCTAAACAGAGTAATGCTCTTCTAAATCCACAATGGGATTAGATGGGAACAACTCTACCTAGAATTGCATTTTTAAAAGTTATAATGTAATTTTTACCTTGCTTGCTCCTTTAAAAAAAATACGTTGATTTTTGTTTCAGAGAGCACTTAAAAAAAATTACGAATCCGTTTTTTAAAACCTCTTTTTATTGAACCCCCACCCAAGTTTTACAATAGCTTTAACTCGCCTTTAAACAAAATACACAGAAACGACAAAGAAGAAAATAAATAAAAAGCACAGATGTCTTATACACTAATAATGGGAGATGAAAAGAGGACTATAGACAAGAGGCACCTAATGTATTGTTTCCCTTTCTGACTTGCCTCAGAAACCTAAAACCGTACCTCTGCATTTACCGAATACCTCCTGTGCTAACGTCCTTTGTTGAAGAAGTATTAATTTTCTAAGTGTGAATAAAATTGTTGGGATTTTACTTCAATCAATATTCATTATACACTAGCTTTTAGACATGGTTGTTGTTGTTTTTAATACGTTCCATGAAGAGCATTTCCAGTTTGGAAGGTAACAGGCTAGAACAGGGGTCCCCGACGTGGTGCCCCCTGACACCTTTCTTGGCATCTGCCAAATACTTTTTGAAAGTCAGTGGGTCCAGGTGGGGCTACTGACCACTGGAGATTTGACTGGATGTGCAGGTTTTTACAAATGACGATTTGACAGCAACTGTCACCTCAGCACAAGGATCTTCAAGACGTGACTGCAGGATGTAAGCTGCGGCAGCCATTTTGTGGCTGCACCCACCATGCTGTCAGAATTCCGAAGGTGCCCTCAGGCTCAAAACGTGAGGGACCCCTGGGCTAGAATCATGAGAATCCTACTCGATCAGACCGAACAGTCACCTAGGCCTGCATCCTGCTTCCAACAGCAGCTCACTGGATGATTCTAGAAAATTCACAGACAGGGCGTTAAGGCAAACGTCCTCCTCTTCGGTTCAGTGACAGAATTTCAAAACCATGCCACCTCAGAATATGGACATTCCTTTCAGCTTTCACAGCTAGGAGTTGCCAGCAAACTAAAGGGGGGAAAAACGCCTGTCCCTTTTAACAGAGGCTGAATGGGAGGTTATTTATTGGGTGACATGGCATACCATGAAAAGCTAAAACTGGGGAAAATTTTCTCCTGGGGAACTGATCTCTGTAGTCTGGGGATTGTCTGTAATTCTGAAAGATCCCCAGACCCCACATGGAGCTTACAACGCTACCATACGTTGTTGTTCAGTCACACAATCGAGTCCGACTCTTCGCGACCCGATGAACCATGTCACGCCAGGCCCTCCTGTCTTCCGCCGTCCTCTGGAGTTTGCTCAACCAGACATTAGGCCTCTGTTAAACGGGCAGGATATTTTTTCCCCGTCCAGGTTCTTGGTGACCCTACTCACAGCCAATAGCCACTGATAGCGCCACCCACCACGAAATCCCCTTTTAAAGGCATCTAAGCTACCAGTCGTCATCATCTCATCTTGCAGCCAAACATTCCAGGTGCTCAGAACAAGTCTTGCGAAAAAGTATTTTATTCTTTCCCCCTATCCGAAATCTAGTGCCGGTCACCCCGAGTTCTAATGACCTAGAGAAAAAAAGTCCACTCTATTGACTTGCTTTTCAACATTTCATAAACTGCTTCTCATCGCCCACCTCCACCCCCCCCACCTCTCCTTTTCCTAACTAAAGAGTCCACCCCACAAACTTGCCAGGAGTGGTGCGACATCAGTTTTCAAGCTCTTAATAAAGATTTCTGCACCTTTAAAGGTTCAGTGTTTCCTTTTTTTTTTTTTGCTTTGTTTTGCATTGTTACCTTTCTAAGAAATTTTTGAAAGATAAAAATAACTCTTAAAAAAATGTTAAATGCTTTTCGGTTTCTAGCGAATCCCTTCGCCTTGGAGCAGGTCAAAAGTGGTTGGTATCAGTGCTGAGGGGCCGTGGCTCCGTGGTGGCCGACATGCAAGTCATGCGGAAGTCTGAGGTTCCATCCCCAGCGTTTTGTGCTGAAGGGTCTTTCAGGCACTGGGACTCATTGCCCAAGTGCTTGGACTCAGTGGTTTCGCTCCATTGTGCTGAAGGGTCTTTCAGGCACTGGGAAAGACTCATTGCCCAAGTGCTTGGATTCAGTGGTTTTGCTCTGAATAAGGCAGCTCTCTGCTCAACGCCACAGCCTCTTTTCTCATCGTGGTGTTCTCACTGATTCGCTACTGCATGGATCTTCTCATGTCTACGGAGATCACTCCGGTTCAGGAACCTTTGCTCGCACGCCGTGCATTTATACGGTCTCTCGCCAGTATGAATTCTCCGGTGTATCAGAAGGTAGCCTTTCTGGATGAAGCTCTTCCCGCAATCCGTGCACGTGTTTGGTTTCTCCCCCGTGTGGATCCGTTCGTGCGTCAAGAGGGACGAGCGACGGGTGAAGCATTTCCCACACTGGGCGCATCGGTAAGGGGTCTCTCCCGTGTGGGTCCTCCTGTGTATCACCAGCTGCAACCTCCGGCTAAAGCTCTGCCCACAGTCAGTACAGCTGTACGGCTTTTCGCCCGTGTGGATTCTCTCGTGGTTGATGAGGTTACACCGGATGCTGAAGCAACGCCCGCACTCGGCGCATTCATATGGCTTCTCTCCCGTGTGCATCCGCTTGTGCCGGACGAGGGTCGACTTCCGGTTGAAGCTCTTGCCGCAGTCTAAGCAGGCGTAGGGTTTCTCCCCAGTGTGGGTTCTCTCATGGACGACGAGGTTTGCTTTGCAGTTGGAGGTCTTCCCACAGTAGAGGCATTGGTAAGGTTTGACGGTCATTTGCACGGTCTGACTCTGCAGGAGGTCGAAGCCCTCATCTTCAATCTGTTCCTTCTTGATCTTGCACTTGAGGATTTCATCTTGGAAGATGCCTTCTCGTAAGCCCAAATCACCTTCCTCACAGAGAAATCCGGAAGGCTTCTCGGGATCGTTTTCCCAGTGACTTCCGGGACCTGGGGGGCTTCCTGGCATCTCGGTCTCCTGGAAGAATTCCCCTTTGGCCCCGTCCAGTGATATTTCACATACAGTCATTTCCTCGGGCTTCCCCAGCTGAAAGGTCTCCACATCGCTCTCCTGTGCTTCATCAGCTCCGTCTGAGGAAAGAAAAAAAAGGAAAGTATTGTGATGTTAATTTTAGGCCCTTATAGGAGAGAGAAGATGCCCCCAACCAGAAAAAAAAGCAAGGAAGGAACCGGTACAAATATAAGGATATAAGAAAAGTCCTGCTGGATCAGACCAATAGTCCATCCAGTCCAGCATCCTGTCTCACACAGTGGCCAACCAGCTCCTCTGGAGGGCCAACAACAGGGCAGAGAGTCCAAGGCCTTCCCCTCATAAGGACATAAGAAAAGCCCTGCTGGATCAGACCAATAATCCATCCAGTGCAGCATCTCGTCTCACATACTGGCCAACCATAGAGGCCGAGGACTTCCCCTGATGTGGCCTCCTGGCTCTGGGATTCAGAGGATTAGTGCCTCTGAATATGGAGGTCCCCCTCGGTCACCATGGCTAGTAGCCATTGATGGACTTACCCTCCATGAACCTATAAAATCCCCTTTAAAAAGAAAATACGAACATAAACAGAGCCCTGCTGGATCGAAGAGAAGAGAAAAGAAGGAAAGGCTGAAGGACTCTGAATTGTGCCTTTGAGAACTTTGGTTCTTGGGGATGACTGGGAGTACCGTTACTAGACAGTTAAATGTTAACTTTAAGGGTAAAAGGTGTTAAATGTTTGATTCAGTTTATAAAAGGATCAATGATGAGAAGACTTGATGTATCTAAGCTAGTTGGAGGATCTTCTTTCTTGGGTTTTTAGGTAGTAGTGGGTACTTTACTTTATCCCGTATATGTAGTATTCCCCTCCCCTTTTTTCTGTTATAGTTTTTTGTAGTTATTAAAAAACAATAAAAAATCCCCTCCGGGGGCTTAAAAAAAGAAAAAAAAGAAAAAGAAAAACCCTGCTGGATCAGACCAATAATCCATCCAGTGCAGCATCTCGTCTCACATACTGGCCAACCATAGAGGCCGAGGACTTCCCCTGATGTGGCCTCCTGGCTCTGGGATTCAGAGGATTAGTGCCTCTGAATAAGGAGGTTCCCCTCAGTCACCATGGCTAGTAGCCATTGATGGACTTACCCTCCATGAACCTATAAAATCCCCTTTAAAAAGAAAATACGAACATAAACAGAGCCCTGCTGGATCAGGCCAATATTCCATCTAGTCCAGCATC